CTGGCGGCGGTCGCTTCGTTTGCACAAAACCCGCCGGTTTCCGGCTAGGGACGAAATTCGGCCTTAGCGGCACTTCCGTCTCTGACGGCATCGGAGTCTGCGTAGATCTATTCAAGGAAGAGGGAGCCTCGCCTGGCTTGGATACGGAGCTTCCGAGCCGCGTGTGTGTTGTTTGTGTTCAAGGCAATTGAGAGCCTCCGTGAGTGTGTACATAGCGCCTCTGTGTGTTCTCTACACATATGCGTGCATAAATCATACATGTGGGAGTGTGATGATCATATGGATATGAATAGCATTTCTATTATTTCTGTATTGTGTATATATTTTACTTAAAATATTAATGACATTAAAATCTAGATGATGCTTCGCCGTCTTGCTGCTTTACCTGAATGAGCCCATTTTCTTTCATTTAATATATTAAATATATATATATATATATTTAATATATTAAATGAAAGAAAATGGGCTCATTCAGGTAAAGCAGCAAGACGGCGAAGCATCATTTGTCAACACAGTAAAAATATACAAAACAGAACAAAAAAGACAGGAAGTAAGAAAAAGAGAGAAAGGGAATGAAAAGAAAACATATATTATGCCTTCTGCTCTTCTTTCTATCAAGTAATTATCATCTTACTCTTTTCCCCATCCTCTTTGTCCCTTTTTAATCCCCAGATCATCATTTAATCATCAGTTCTTTCCACAGAAAGTCCATATAAGGTTTCCAGTCTTTCAAAAAGATCTTTTTTACTGGTCAGTGAACAAACCCATTTTCATGGGTTCGCATAATATATTGAATCATGCATTCATTGGCACCACAAACTAAGCCACCAAGCAATCCAAGATGAACATTAACCAAGCTGAGTGTGCATTTTAACCTGTCTTGGTTAAATTTACAGATTTTAAAAATCAGACTTTCTGTCCAGGTGACTATTTGGCAAACTGTCATGTAACCATTTTAATAACACGATGTGAACAAAATGTAACTGGGATCTTAAATAGTACCGTATGTCTCTGCCACTTTGGGCGTATTGCAGAACCCTTTTCCTTCAACAGAAGAACAGCTGTATGTAGCAGAAAATAGAGTCTCTGAATCTGATACTGGGGACAAACTAAAGAACGTCCTATGGACAGTCATTTTAATTAGCCATGGTGGTGGAGAGTCCTTTCAGAATTAAGCATTATGCACACCTTTAGTGCATGGGCTGAGAGCACTCAAAAGTGTATTCAGTCTCCTACCAGAAAAAGATTTCTTTAGAAGCTATTGTAAGAGGGTGAAAGTTAAATATCTTGTGTGTGAATGCAGCCTGTGCATTATTCTGTTTCCTCACTGCTTTCCTGAATTAATATCAGCCTTTCACAACTGGTGTTCCGAGAGAAATTGTGATTGAAAAAAATAAAAAAAATTAAATTTTGTGCACTAGCGCTTCCAGTGGCGGGAATTTTCTACTGCAACTCAGCCCCCAGCCTGCCACTTTGCTGTCGTTATAAACACTGTAAAATATGGATTGTGTAGGTTAGAAGTGAATTATATTGTGAAGTGTTTAGTCTCAGTTAGTTATTTATTATGCCATTCTGCTCTATCTTTTATGAGCATTTGTATTTTACAGATGTGTTTGATGGTCCAATTTGGCGATGTTTGAAAGGGGTGGTGAGATGGAAGAGAAGGATTTTAGTTCTAGGCCTGTGGACAATAGTGATAATGCTAGTGATGAAGAATTACAAGCAAGTGATTTAGTAGCAGAACGTACTGCCTATAAAAAGAAAAGTCACACAGTGTAGAGCAGTGTTTCTCAACCTTGGCAACTTTAAGATGTGTGGACTTCAACTCCCCGAATTTCCCCCCCACCGCCCATCGCGCGGGGGGTTCTTGTGGTAGGGCCGTCCTTCCCTAAAGATTCCCGGCTCTAGAAAAACAGTCCTATCCTGTGA